GCGCCACCCACTCATATGTAAATATCACAGTTGAGACTAATTTCAGTGGGGGGCCAGTAGACCCTATCTTAATTTTTGGTTACCCTTGTCTGTTTGGGGTGAATCCTGGACAGGTGGCATCCCTAGTAGGGTCAGATGAACTATCAAATTTAGATTTGGACTTTTAAAACCAAACTGGTGCCACAACAGTTTTTCAGCAATTACAGCAATATTTCTTTTTTTCTTTTGGTATAATATTTTTACATAAATGAATAAACTAGCCATTATAAGTCCCCCTGTCAGGGCTTGTTCACACCAAATGCAGACCAGATCTGCATGGGTTTCTGCGCACACAGTGCAGTGTGTTTTGACGTGTTTTTGACGCGTTCAGGGCCGTTTTTGCAACAACAACAAAAGTGTGATTTTTTTTTTTACGTTTAAAATGGGCTTTCAGTGCGTTCCAGTGCGCTTGCATGCGTTTTTAATGTGTAGGCATGCGTTCCAGAGCAGGTAAAATAGGGCTTGCTGCACTTTTTTTACATGCTCTGGAACTGAACGCTGCGATGTAAACTAGAGCCCAAAATACCAGTGGAATACATTGATCCGGTCTGTAACTGCTCTGCTCCTGGAACGCGCTTGGTGTGAACTAGCCCTCAGTGTTAATGGTTTGTCTCTGTCACTTTTGCTGGACAACTTGGTTTGTCAAAAAATAATAATTGAGAAACAACAGACTTACTGGCTGGATCACTAGGTGAAATAAAAGAAAAAAAAGTCTAAACCCCCCAGGCAGATAGCAGCACTACATAGTGAAAAATAGATTTGAGGGGGGTATAGAACTTTAAAGAGCTAAAAAGGCGTGAGACTTTATTTAGGTATTAGTACATATAGCCACACAATGCAATTGGGGTCCGGATAATGGCTATGTTTCCTGGTTACACACTGCTTTCTAGGTGATGAAGTCCCTTGTCATGGCATGTGTAATCTCCTTTAGCTTTACTTACAACTGTTTAGGTTGAGGACACCCTACTAGAATGGAATGTTACAGTTGATCATACATCTAAAGGGGTTGTGCAAAGAGTACATTAGGCACAATGGAGGGCAAGCCACCCATACCAGGTGTCCATCTTGTGTTGGGGCACCATGCAATGTCTCAACTCTAAGCAGAGCTGTGCAATAGAAATGCTTTAATATACAGGCTTTTAAACATAACACTTTTTATGTTTAATATGTCACAAGATTCCGCATTTCTTTTCTTACCCTATGGTTTTCTATATTTGTTCTTTGCCTGGGGTGAGTGCTGCAGCAGCATTGAAGCATATCCACTAATACATCCATAGGTCTTATGATTGGGATTGTTTTTACCAGGCAAACATCAATTGTGTTAAGTGAGATGTTGCTCTGTATACAACCGCTCACATAAAAAGTGTTGTGTTGTATGGATGCTGTGGGGTGCTAAAATATTTTTTAAATACCAGGTAATGAACTCTGGGGCTTAATCTTGGTTGAATAAAAGGAAGTGTTTGCACAATGCCTCAAAACATGGTGCATAACATAAGGGTGTAGCTCATTTACAGGAAATGTTTGTGCATGTTATTTGTAAACTTTTAGACTTTTTGGAAGTCAGTCTTACTTACAAGAAGCAATAGTAAGAATCAATACCAGGGATTTAAGGCCAAAATTTGAAAGGTAATTATTTTAATTAGAGAGCAAATATTCCTATACATGTTTCACAATACAGTGCTGTGCACTATTAACAGAGCAGATCCAGATATTTACCAGAAGAAAAAAATCATGAGTAAACTGTTCTGACTACAAAGAAACCACATAAATGCTTTTTTGTTGTGACACAGCTAAGTAGTAAAGCCCTTAAGTTTTGAGTTTTTTTTTTTTCCTTTTTAACATTACATACCAACCACACGAGAATCTTTGGTGTAACATTAAATATGTTAATCCAAAACCAAAAAATAATATATTGCAGCTTAACACGTTAGATGACGTAGCTGTATTAGTTTTAAATTTTTTTGGCTTTTTTTCCTTTATTTTTACCTGGCAATGTTTCCAATAACAGTTTTTTGTTCTTATAATTCTTTATTTATGACACTGGTAGAGAATACAATACAGGCAAAAACACATTGGCATTCGAAAGTTATAATAGTGTGGTTTGATGGTTTTATCAGGGGGCATGGCCTAGGAGCAAGAAGAGCTCTATCACAAAGTCAAAGACACTGTGCACTGGGTAGAAATGTGGGTCTAGGTAAAATATCGACTGCAGGATGCTGATTGTAAGTGCTCTATCATTCACAAATAACTTGTCTCACATTGTTTAAAGGATAAGGTTGCCTAACTCTAGGTTCCCTTTAATTGTGCATAACAATAACAACTCTTGCAGGATCTGAATCCCACTAATTCTAATTAGAAAAAGAACACATGCCCCACCCATATAATCCGCTCACCTCCCAGCTAGGAGATGTGCTTTCCTTTTTTTCCACATACATTATGAGTTTGTTTTTATGGGTTTGTTTTTCTAAATCAATGCTGGCACATTCTGGTGTACCAACTCAAGAATACTGATAAAAATGGCAAATATAAACTTTTTCTACAGTCTGTGCGCTTTTGTATCCGCAAGCACATAAATGTTTAAGTAAAAGTGAAATAATTTGACACACAGTACACCCAAATCCAACCTTACAACGTTAAAAAAAAAAAGCGTAAAAGGCCTGCATCAATCGAAACAAATAAAAGTGGAGTGCAGTTATTATCTGATATGAAAGGAAAGATTCTAATTAAATCCTTGTGCTAAATAAACGAAAGACCTTCCAAACAGCGCGTGGCTGCAGGCCAGCAATGGCGAGACTTGAAGATCCGATTTGGTCAGTGAGTGAGAAAATGCTTGCAAGAAGGATTAATTTGTTGATCACAATGCTATAACGTTGTATTAGAAGCCCTAGTCATGTGTAAAGCAATTTCAGAAGCTATAAATTCAGCTTGTGCCATCATGCAGAATGTATTGGTCCTTCCATTTAATTGAATGTTATGTTTGTATTTCGCATCCCTTATGTATGTCATTGAAGGATATCGAGAGCATAAAGGTCCTGTTAGTAAAATCTGACATTTTAAAAAGTAGAATTGGCTTTCTTCAAGAACAGAATTTTTATGGATAAAAGTAAACCCATCTCTGTATTTTTTTTTAGTACAAAAAAAAAAGAACCCACATACTTCAAAGACATGAGCTTTTACACAGTAATATCACCAGGATAAAGGTGATGGGAAGTGAACAATTACTGTGCAACCGGCCGAATTTCCTGGAACGGTCAGACTGGAAAATATTTTTGAATCATCCAAAAATTGATGGATTAGTGCTGTTTTCGTGCGGAAACAATTGCAACATAAACACTGCACAAACGAAAATCCGTTCTGCCGATCGACGAAATTTGGCCAGTTAGTATTGCTAACGTACGATAATGAAAATCTACATTGGTCTGTGCATGGGGTAATAAATTGGCAGCTTCAGTAATATTTATTGAAAGATTCTAATGAAAAAGGAAAAAAAAAATAGGGTAATGTGTTCAAAAGCAATTGGACTTGTCCACCGGGTTCCACGTGACTATATCAATCCTTTCTCATTGTGGTCACTTGAAACCACAATTTTATATCTTTGATTGCTTTGTGATTTTAACAACTAATGAAATCAAAAGTAGGATTCTTTCAATAAATTTCTATGCGTATGGCCAGCTAGAGAACATTGTTCTTCCAATTGGACACCTCGGTTATGCCAATACGATACTGGGGAATAACCGGTGGGCTTAGGAAGGTGCTGCCTGGTTTCTAGCAACTGCAATTCTGCCTGGTAGGTTGTAACTGATGAGATTGCTTGGTGGTTTTTATATACTAACTGTTAATCATTTTTGCTTGTATTCATTTGTATGCCTGTGTTTATCTTGGGCCCGATAAGGGCAGTATTATTTCTTGACTCCTGTTTCTATTGAAAACCCATAAAAATTAATGAAAATAAAGTGCTAACAAAATGAAAGTAATTCTTTTGGGAATCTTTTGTTGCTGATCTCCTTCAGCAAAATACTAATGCTTTGGCTTTAGCTCTTTTGCCTTTTGTGAGTCACTGGCCCAAAATAAGAGACGGCATAAAGCCATCCACAACTCTGCCCCCGGATATATCTCAGACCTTGTCTCAAAATATCACCCTAACCGTCCACTCCGCTCTTCCCTAGACCTCCTGCTTTCCAGCTCCCTAGTCAATTCCTCCCATACTTGCCTCCAGGACTTCTCTAGAGTCTCTCCCATCCTCTGGAACTCTTTACCCAAACCTGTCCATCTATCTCCCACCTTGACTGTCTTTAGGCGTTCCCTGAAGACTCATCTCTTCAGGGAAGCCTATCCCACCTCAACCTAACCACTGAACCATCACATTCTCAAACAATTCATCCCCACACAGCTACCTCCTCATGTATCACTTCCCCCTCCTCTTTCAGATTGTAAGCTCTCAGGGGCAGGGCCCTCCTTACCATCTTGTCTTAAATTGTATTGTAATTGTAATGTCCTTACATTGTAAAGCCCTGCCCAAACTGTTGGCGATACATACATACTATGTAATAATAATAATAACTAATCCACATTTTACTCAAATGGTTCACCCACTCTACTACAAAACGTTTTACCTTTCCCTTTTACCTAAATGGGAACTTTGATGGTTTTAGTTCAAGAACGTATTAATTAATTGCTTTGCTAGACTTGCATTTTTTTTATATATTTGTTTTTACTTTGTTTCTATGGACATCTTCTCCAGTTTTGTTCTATTTTTATACCGTTTGAAGCAGTAAAAGAAAAGACTCATCTTCACCTCCTGCTTTAGGTGTGACAGAACATATCCCAGTGTAGTCCTCTTGTTCTGAGTTTTTTATAACATTATTTTAACCACTTCAGGTTGAAAAGATGTGACAAGCAATGGAGAGTTACCAGATATAAACCAACTATTTATTGTGGTTTTTTTTTTTCTTTATCTTTAGCTTTCACAAAATGCTGTCATGAAAGCGGTTTTCTCATGGTGGTAAAATGTCGAGATGAAAACGCAGCACTGAAGGAGTGTCTAACAAAGCAGTAAGTGGTACTTTCCTTCCCTCTCAACACTCAAGTGCTTTGCTGGTTTGAAGAACGGCCGCCCTACTATTTGCTACACGTGGCAGTTATCTTTTGTGCTTCAGTTACAGGACAGAGTCAATCCATTTTAATTTTGTATAAAGAAGAGAGCAACAGAGTATAACTCTTATTTCCTGATTACACGTTAGATGCTATGTAAGAAACTTTGAAGTAGAAAGGTACTTCAAAAGAAAAACTTCTTTTTTTTGTTTTTTGCAAGAAAACCAAACATTTTTGTATTATTAAGCTGGGCTGTGGGGCAATCTATATCTTACATTTTGTTGCTTATGTACAAATACTGCAGGCAGTTGATTAGGTTCATTAAAATTCTAGCCCGAAAATAATGGCACTGACAGCACGATCGGCGGTGGTGTACGATTCCGTGACCACCCAGCCATCCGCTCGGTTTCGTGCACGATGACCGGGCAGTCACAGATCGCACACCACCTCCGATCGCGCTGGCAGTGCTATTATTTTCTAATGGCACCCCAGTCGTGCCAGGCAGGTTGCGGTGTTTTCCGAGCGGTAGCACACAATCGCAGTTTATTCACATGCAGATGGGGCAGCGGGACTGGTTTTCATTTTTTATTTACTTTGTAAAAAAAATTCATTTGTTTTATTATTTTTAAATTTTTATTTAGTTACATTTTTAACTATTTATTTTTTAACGATACGAATTCCACACCCCTGAGTCTTGATGTCTCTATAAAGTGGACCTGTCACTGCCAATTGGCTATCACATAGGAGGCTTGTTAGCCCCCATGTGACAGCAATAAAGTTAAGTGTAAAAAAAAGTGTTAAAAAGTAATTAAAAAAAATTAAAGAAACAAATGTTTTAAAAAAAAACACACTTTTTTGTTAAAGTCCCACGCCCCCCACCTACACATGCAAACATGTGTCGGGTGCGCCTATGTGCAAAAAACGACGATTGCGCCTTTTCTGCCGCACATGTTACATATCACCGCGAACGTCTGAGTGAGAGCAATAAATTTAGGGCCATTAATCACTGATAACACTAAACTGATGAGCGGTAAAAGCATTTAAAGCGTTGCCTATGTCCAATTTTTGGTGTGGTCGTTTTTTGCTATTGCGCGGGCAATTTTAAGGCTTGATATGTTTGGTGTCTATTTACCCGAAAAAAAAAACCCCAGTGGTGATTCTATACCACCAAAAGAAAGCTCTATCTGTCTCTAAAAAATGCTAACATAAATTGTTAGCCCCGTGTTTCCCCGAAAATAAGACAGTGTCTTATATTTTTTTTTCTACGAAAAAAGACACTAGGTCTTATTTTCGGGGGATGTCTTACCTGGCGGCAGCTGTCCGCTCTGCCGTCCAGGGAGCCGGGCGGGGGGGAGGGATAGGCCAATGCCTTGGCTAGCGCTCGTGCAGAGCAAGTTTCTTGGGCAAAACTCTTAGTTGTAACGAAACCGGAAGTCAGGCAGTCGCAGAACTCTATAATTTCTCGGTGTCGACAGATCACCGGCCCAAGTGGCTCCGTCGGCTAACTAAGGGAAGGGGGAAGAGTCTGGTGACGTCACGGGACTCCTCCCCCCTTCCCTTTGTTAGCCGACGGAGCCACTTGGGGAAGGGGGGAGGAGTCCGGTGACCGTATGTGACATGGGGACCTTAGATTGTAGACTTCTTGGACAGGCACTGATGTGAATGTGCAGTATGTAAAAGCACAGTATTGTCAGCACTATAGAAATTATTTATTTAAACAGCTTCATTACTACAAAACGCAAAGTGAGTGAGCAGAAGAAAAATCTGAATCAGATCAATATTTGATGTGACTACCCTTTGGCTTCAAACCAGCATCTATTTTTACACTTGCACAAAGTCAGGGATTTGATTAACCATTTATACCAAACAGGTGCTAATGATCATCAATTTCATATGTAGGTTGAAACACAGTCATTAATTGAAACGGAAACAGCTGTGTAGGAGGCTTAAAACTGGGTGAGAAACAGACAAACTGCTACTAGGGTGAGGTTGTGGAAGACGGTTTCATGTAACAGGTCATACACCATGGCAAGACCGAGCACAGCAACAAGACACAAGGTAGTTATACTGCATCAGAAAGGTCTCTCCCAGGCAAAGGTTTCAAATCAGACGGGTTTCAAGATGTGCTGTTCAGGCTCTTTTGAAGAAGCACAACGGGCAACGTTGAGGACGCAATGGTCGGCCAAGGAAACTTACTGCAGGAGATGAAAGACACATCATCCTTATTTCCCTTCAACATTGGAAGATGACCAGCAGTGCCATCAGCACCGAACTGGAGGAAACCAGTGGGACCCAGGAACACCCATCTACTGTCTGGAGAAGTCTGGTCAGAAGTGGTCTTCATTGAAGAATTGGGGCCACAAAACCATACCTCTGACGTGAAAAAAAGGCTAGGCGACTCAACTAGGCACGGAAACACAGGAATCGGGGTACAGAAAAATGGCAGCAGGTGCTCTGGAGTGGTGAGTCAAAATTTGAAGGAGTCAGTTTGTTCGCTGAAGGGCTGGAGAGCGGTACAACAATAAGTGTATGCAGGCAACAGTGAAGCATGGTGGGGGTTCTTGCAAGTCTGCGGCTGCATTTCTGCCAGTGGAGTTGGAAATTTCATCTATCAATGGTGACCTCAATTCTGAGAAATGCAAGCAGATACTTTTCCATCATGCATACCATCAGGGAGGTGTGTGATTGGCCCCAAATTTATTTTGCAGCAGGACAACTAACGCAAACATACAACCAATGTTATTAAGAACTATCCTCAACGTAAAGGCCCCTTACAGAGCCCTGATCTCAACATCATCGAGTCTGCTGAGAATACATGAAGAGACAGATGGATTTGAGGCAGCCGACATCCACAGAAGATCTGTGGTTGGTTCTCCAAGATGTTTGGAACATCCTACCTGCTGAGTTCCTTCAAAAACTGTGTGCAAGTGTACCTAGAAGAATTGATGCTGTTTGGAAAGCAAAGGGTGGTCACACCAAATATTGAACTGATTTCCTCTTCTGTTCATTTACTTTCCATTTTGGTCATTGATGAAAAATGATTACCACTTTTATTTCTGAAGCATTCATACTTTACAGCATTTTCTCATACCTGCCTAAAACTTTTGCACAGTACTGTGTGTGTAATAAATAAATTATATATAGATATAATTTATTATATCTTGCCTTCCAGATTTTCCTGGAATATTTTCATTTTAACTGTAATCTGTTTTCGTTAATATATATTGATTGCATGCTTTTAAATCTCATCTATTTCCTAGCTATAGAGATCCTGTTTTCTATGAAGAATGTAAGCAAGAATATTTAAAGGAAAGAGAAGAATTTAGAAAAACGGGTATTCGCACCAAAAAACGAGAGCAGAAGTTACCAGCCAGCATGTAACATTTACCCAAATGTCCTCCCGATTATTCTGATGCGTACAATAAATGAATTGGTGATTCGTATGTATCATGTTTTTACTTTTTTGAATAAATAGTTTTTGCAACCTATTGTATGTGAAACAATCTCATGGTTTATGCAGCTGTACATAGTAATGGCTAATTTATAGCTTACATTTGTATCTGTATCTTCTTTCTCTGATAAATGGTCTTTTGAGTGCTACCCTTGATAAGTACATTGCTACTTTGTATTCTGTTATATTTTCTAGGGAAGGAGTGTACTTTCTAACATCCAGGTCATTTGTGGCGACCCCTGACTATATGCACAAATAAAACAAATGTGCCACACATTAGCAGTGTTGCAGAAGAGCTTCCCGCTATTGTGAATTCACTTTCATATTTTAAAAGAATGCTTCTATACCAAAATGTATGTTTTTTCACTTTATTTCTCTTTACACCTTTGCAGAAAGCTGCGTACATTTAGGCCTTGTTCACACCAAATGCAGAGCAGATCTGGTCAGGTTTCTGCACACGCACGCTAGTCTTTTAGATGCGTTTTGACGCGTTTTTGGCTAAAAAACAATTTATTTTTTTAAACATGGGCTCTCGTGCGTTTTTGCGTTTTTGATGCGTTTGCAGATCCAGTGCAGGTAAATAGGGCCTGCTGCAGTTTCTTTACCTGCTCTGGAACTGCACGCTGCGATGTGAACTGGAGCTAAAAATACCATTGGAATACATTGGACGCAGTTTTGATCCGGTCTGCAGCTGCTCTGCTCTGGACCTGCTCCGCGCTTGGTGTGAACTAGCCCTTAGAGACGTTTACATTGTTCTCTGCTTGGATATGATAGGAAATTATTCAGCAGTTTCTTTTACATACCATTGCGGTCTTAGAAAAATGCACATAAAAATAACACTTGGCTCCACAGCTCACAAAGAAACAAAACCAAACAAAAAGCTGTTCAGTCAGTTTGCATTGAGTTTCACCTTAGGACATGGCCCTATAGTCAAAGCTTTTCCTTGAATACACAATTATATGGTGGTATACATTACCTTGTGGAATATAAATATTCCACAAGGTAATGTATAGTTTATTTTATACTTGCATTTCCAGAAGAAGCCTTTAATATACTGTATCAGTTTTAAAGAGTGTTTATCAGCGTGAAATATTGCTTATAGTGTTTCTGTTCTTTAACCGCTTGTCGTCTGCCTATTGTAAATAAATGGACGGATGGCAAGCTTCCTACAGCGGGGCGCCGTAAATATACAGCTGTTTACACTGACAAGTGTAAACAGCCGGTAACAGCTTTTACATACAAGTGTTCGGATGGCTCTACAGCTATCCAATCGCTTGTATTTGCCGAGCAGTGTGCTCCCCCTCTACTTCAGCGCCGCCCACACCTTCACTGCTGTTACCGGCCATCCCGGGCTCCGCTGTCCCTTCTGCAGGACCGGCTCGGCGGCTCTCTGCACTAAGATCGGAGGGAGATCAGCACTCCCACCTGCTGTTCTCTCCGAGCTCTAAATGCGGAAACAAAGTGTATTTAATCTCTTCTGCATTCAGCGGTCATTGCTCTGGCTGCTATAGCCACAGAAGCAGCTGGTGAAGCAGATTTGTGCTTTATCAGCTTCTTTGGGGGTTCATAGATGACATTAGGGGTCTTATGGACCCCTAATGTCTTCATAAAGAGGACCTGCCTGTGCCATCACATAGGGGGTTGTTAGTCCTCTATGTGATAGCAATAACATTAAGTGTAACAAAAAAAATAGTTGCATATAAAAAATGTAAAAAAAAACAACAATTTTTTAAGTCTCCCGCCCCCACAGATACGCACATACAAATGTAAATATGCTTTGGGTGCGCTTACGTGCAAAATTGACGATTGCACCGCACATGTTACATATCTCCGTGAATGTCAGAGTGCAAGCAATAATTCTAGGGCCATCAATCACAGATAAAACTAAAGTGATAAGCAGTGAAAGCTTTTAAATAGTCATCGATTTGGCAATTTTGGGTATTGTAGTTTTTTGTGGTTTCACGCAATTTTAAGACTTGACGCGTCTATTTACCTGACGTGACCCCGTCTTTCTCAAAAAATTGTTCAGTAATGTTTCACAACATAACGTAGGGGAAAGTTTTTTTTTGTTGTTTTTTTTTTTTCTTCAAAATTTTTGGTAATTTTTCCTTTACTATAGTAAAAAATAAAACCCGCAGTGGTGATTTAAATACCACCAAAAGAAAGCTCTATCTGTCCCTAAAAAATGGTATAAAATTCATTTCAGTACAGCGCTGCATGACGGAATAAATGTCAAAGTATCGCAGCGCTGAATACTGAAAAATGGCCTGGCCAGGAAGTGGGTTTACCACCCCGGTCTTCAAGTAGTTAAAGAAGAACTCTGGGCAGAATAAAATGTAACTTGTAGTGGGGCTACCCCGCACTGCACCGGATAAGTACTGGTTTTGGTCTAGGCTGTAAAATGTTTTCCCAAATCTCGGTCCTGCCTGGCTTCTAGACCGGTCTCCGAGGCGTCTCTCCCCTTCCACTCTGGCAGTCTAAGGATCCGCGAGTCATCACATCTATTGCACTGTATTAGACATGAGGACACTGAGGTACATACAACTGCCAGAGTGAAGGGGAGAGAAGCTGCATGAACCAGTCTAGCAGCCGGATGGAACCAATGTTCAGGTGAGTATGTCTTTTATTTGACACCCTAGACCAAAATGAGCACCTTAACCCTTTCAGTGCGGGGGTAGCCCTACTGCAAGGGTTACTTTTATTCTGCCTAGAGTTCATCTTTAAATATTCTTTTTTTTTTTACATCATACTTTTCAGCCAGCATGTGAAGCTCTAGACTGCTCACATGTTTACAAGGCGTATCTTAACTGCTTTTCTAAAAAATAAAGCCTGCTTACAGAGCTGAATAGCTGAAGTTCAAATGACATGCACAGCTGAATCATCGGAGGAATGATTCTCTCCCCATCCTGTATGGCTCCATGCAGAGTTTTAATATAAAGCATCAGTTTCAAATGAAAAGCTACTGATGTGTTTTCTTTAGACAGCTTTAGTCATCGTGTGTTTGTAAAATAAAGATTGTATATTAATACAAAAATATATATATATATGTGTAAAAAGCTTGTAAAGTGAAATAAAAGGATAATATTGACCTCTATTGTGGTTTCCCTTTTTGAGTATGTAAATTATTTATTCTGTAGGAATGATCCTGTATCGAGATACAGGCCTGACAGGCTGAGGAATGCCTAGGAAGGTAAGGCCTCATTCACACGAGAAACGGGCGGCACATACAGCGGCTGTATCGGGCAGCTCCCGGGAAGGACAGGTACTGCGTGGGATTATTATGCAGCCCCTGTCCTTCTCTATGGGAGTACGCTGCACGTCCGTGCGGGTGTCGGTACTCATACGATGACAGGATGGATCCTGTCTGCGTCCGAGCCGGGACACCCGCACTTGTACGGACCTGCACTTGGGGTGAGCGTAGGGTGGCGTATGGCCGCCTACTCCCATAGAGAAGGACAGGGGCTGCATACTAATCACACGCAGCACCTGTCCCTCCCGGGAGCTGCCCGATACAGCACGGAGCTGTATGTGCCGGCCTTTTCTCGTGTGAATGAGGCCTAAGAAGGTGAAACATAAGTTGGGGGTGTACACAAGGAGGACGATAAGGGGAGACTACATGCTGAAAAGAAGTTGGCCTGGGCCTTTCAGAAGGGGGATGAGACCCCTAGTATATGCCGAACATTTGAACTCCTTGATGCGGCAGGTAAAACTAACCTTGATGTCAGAAATCATATCTTTGCAACTCTTTAGTATACTACGCCTGCCGCTCTTTTGGGCTAAAAGGACTGAAAATGAATGAAATTATGTAGGAAAACTAAAATAATTTGCCCACTTAGACTGACCACTGTGCACTAAAAAAAGGTGACGTATAGGCCAATATAGACACAGTAACACTTATGTCAGTACCTGACATAATGTCAGAATGAAAAGACATTTGGTTAAACTGTTTACTGTATGTGGCAGTGATCAGTCAGCAGGGGAAAATAAAGCATGTGCCATCTTACTTTATTTCATTTTTTAAATGTGATCACTGATTAGCTATCACAGTGATCATGTGACTGGGAGCCCATCCTACCTGTTCCTCACTATCACTCTGTGACTGGGAGCTGTTGGTGATAACACTGTTATAAAGCTGGTAGCTTATGACTGAGTGAGTTCCCGACACAACACGGCAACCTATTTTTGTGGCAGCATGGCATAAGACCCACCTTCATGTTGCCACATATATGGGTGTGGCTGACGATAAGAGCTTGTGTCAATAGGCTTTGGTTCACATCAGAACTGTTTTTCTCTCCACTCAAGTCTACAAGAATGTGAAAGTAGCTTGAAGAATGTAGGTCGGAAGGAAGTCACCTGCAGGTCAAATGTACATGTCAGTGAGTGTTGAATGGATTTAGTTTCGCAAAAACTGATCTTAACAGCAGGCTGCATTTGAATATCAAAACAAAACCCAAGTAAGTAGTGTTAATTATTGGTGAGTGAGGGTGGAGCTAGCGGGAAATACAAACGAGCACAACCATTACTGAGGGGAAAAAAAAGGGCAAATGCGTAAGGTAAACCATTAATTCCCTAAAAAGAAACAAAATAAAAGTAATTAAAACCCACTACTAACAATCTGCTTTCTAGCACCTCCTAATCGTACAGTATGAGAAGCACAAAGTAGCAGTTCGGACAAACGTCAATCAATGTTAAAGGTACAATCCTTACACAGTAGATACTCATGCTTTCCAAACTGGGCAAAAGTGGCAGAAATGTTAAGAAAAATGGCCAGTTCTAGTTTTAGTCAAACAAAATTCTCTTTAGTTGAACAAGATTTCTCTGACTGGCCCATGAGCTTGTGGGTAAGATGGACAAGGCCGGGACAACGTGGATAGGGGCATGCATATCCATGAAGCAACAGTAGTGAGTTTAAAAGAAAGCTGTTTACATAAGTGTCTTCTCCAAG